AAACCATTCAGTGATTCTATGATTCTAAGTATCAGCATGCCCAAACCACAGTTAATGGCATGACTGCACATAGGGTAGATGGAAGTGAGCTAAAAATATATTTAGCAAACTTCTGTGATTTGAGACTCAAACATTTCAAAATACTTAGACCAACCCAACATCATCTTTATACTCTTCCACAATAAAACATCTGCATTACTATCAAGCAGTAACCTCTTATAAGCTTAAGGGGATAGTGACCGCACTGAAAACAGGCTGGCATGAAAAGAGAACAAATGCTTTCTGTATCAAAACAAGTTTAAGTTCCAGGACTAATAACTACGGATCTGCTAAACATCATTTGTATTAAACCACGCCACAGTACTGAGAGGGGCTAGCACTCTACGACACGCTGACAAAACGCTTGCTCAGAAAGTGATATAGCTCTAGAAGGGATGAATCTTCAACCCACTATGTCACATGCCAAGATCAAAGAAATTTCTCCATAGGAAACTTGCAGGGCAGGACGGCCACATTCCCTGGCAATGATAACAGCACAAAAACACTATCCCTCCTCCAACAAGAGAATGTTGTATACAGTCCTCCAGTCCCAAATGTTACTGGATTTTCCGTGTTAACATTATGCTTAACTTTTTTAAACTTTTTTAAGTTCTTAGGTCAAATTTTGTTATACAGCTGAAAAATAACCAAGCAAGCTTGACCAGAGTGAACATGGATAAATTAAGTACAGGACAAAATCCACTTCAGAATGTCCCATGGCTCCTTTCGTCACTTCCTCTTTCACAGAGGCTTATACGTAACACCCACACAGTGTTTCATAACACTATAGACTTATCTTCTGAACATACTCGTTTACCCATATGTGAGTACACTGTAAAGTACAGAGTACAGGTGTCACCTGACAGAAGCCTTGATCAGTTCAGACTAACAGAAAAAGAAGATCAGTACATTAAAGTCCATGTTTAAAAACAAATAATTGAAAAAATATTGTGTAATTTGCAATAAATTGCTTGTACTGGCTCTGAATTATCTTTGCAGGACATTTAAGGATCTATGACCTCCAATAAGATTCTGATATTTTTATTTCAGTGCTATAAAGAGACTAAAGTGTACTAGAGTACAAAAGGCTTGAAGCCTAGCAGGCAAAATACACAAAAGAGATTTTAAGGGCATCAAATCTTACACAAGTACTTAGGGGAAGAAAAACAGAAAAGCACTTTGACTAAAATCCCTGATTTTATACTAGTACTTCATTTTCCATTCACTTTGCCTACCTATGTGCCCTTGTGGGGCTACTTGCAGCTCAGTTTCTCACAGCCTTACAGTGTGACGTAAAATAAAATACTACATTTAAAAAACTGTTAAAATTACAACTGACCAATGGAAAAGTCAAGTTTCGAGGCAGTTTTCCTGATTCCAGTTGATGTATACGGAGGAAAACATCTACCTGTGGGGTAGACTCATCGATAAAACGGATTACATGAAGAGCATGATGTACATCCCAGTACTGTTCCCTTCGATACTTCATCACCAAAGCATGAGATTCATGGTGAGGAGGAATAATTCCTTGGGGGGAAAAAAAGAAAAAAAAGAAAAAAAAAAAAAAGAAAATAAGATAAGCAACTGTAAAGAGAAAAAAAAACAGCACTCAAATTCCCTTTTCAAAAGACCTGCCTGAACTCAATTCCTACTACAACTCCAGCCTACAGAAATGTTGGACTCGGTACTGCAGTTTGTTATAAACGTGGTCAAAGAATATACAGAGAAAGTTCTAAAAAACTGGAAGTCAGTGGACCAAAAAAGCACTTTAGCATTAGATTTATAAAAACAAATTTAAGATGTTAACTGAGCATAGGCAAAAATCTACCCTTAGACTATTGTCTCTCAAGTTCTACAGGTTTTCAGTAAATGAATGGTAACTCTTTCGTACACCACATGGGTGCACTGATAAAGAAATGTTATTGTTGAGATAGATGAAAAATAATTTAACTGGCTTAGTCTCCCTCTCTAACAACCTTTCTTTATTTTTAAATTGTGAACTTTATTTGTTACTTGTTTATACCTACATACAGCTTTTAATACAGTACTAGTTGTATATTTGTGCCCAGCTTCCATTTATTTTGCAAAGTGGATGGAGAATTATTTTTATATACATTAGCTGTTTATATTCTCAAATTCTACATTTTGACATGACCACAGAATATATACATGCAAATAACTAATGCAAAGATACTGTACATTCCAGTATTATTAATTTACTGTTAGATATCTGCCAGAAAATTCTTTACTTTCTGTATCATAGAGATTAATTCTCTCTAAAACATCACTCAAAAGTAAAATCAATCACATTGGTTGAATCAGTTACAGATTAAAACTGAAGAATACCACCCAAACAGTTTGCCAGTTAACATTTTTTACTTTCTTAGAACACTACGAATATTTTTTCTAGTTTCTAGGAGAAAAATAAAATGGGGAAAAAAAGTATCCAAATAGAGAGGCAGAGAAAATTAAACAGTTTGCAATCTCCAGAAGAGATGCTCAAACATTTCATTCAACCCTTCCTCTCACTCACTGAGTGCACTGTGAACATGCACTGATGTTCACAACAAAACTGTCACAGGCTTCAAGAGAAATAAGATCTTACATACACCAAAGTAGAAAAAAAACCCAAAAACCCCACAACTTACATATCACTAGCAGAGCAGAATTTTTCACGTTGTAGAAACCCATGAGAAAAAAGTATTCCTCAAAAATCATTTCTGAAACAGACTACCTGCTGCTTTTATCTCTCATTGAAAGAAAAAATATTCCTGCCAAGTGTTACACCATGAAATGGCTCTTTAGTAACAACCACAACAGACAGAAAATTGTATTTTATTTTCCAACTGCAAACCTGTCTGCATTTCAAAAGCTATGACAGAGCAAGACATTCTTCACGTTATGCAAAACAGATTCAACATCATGACTTTGTACATCCATACTGCCAACTGCTTTCCTCAAATATAGAAGACTACCTTAGTCAGGTAGAAAAGAAGCTTAAACAACACAGAGATGTCTAGAAACCTTCATAAGTCACACTTGAAAAGGAAGTTAACAGAGACATCACTGACATACCATGTAACCTGGGACAGCATCAAGCCTTGGTATGTGTCTTGACATAATCATGCTGACAGTATAGAATCCTTTTTGTTACACTATTGACATGATTTAGAGGAGATGTAACACCTCCCACTAGAAAAGGATTGGGCTGGATAAGAAAAGTCCTTGTACCTCTGTTCACCCAAGGAATACACAGAATGACAGTATATGCACTTGAAATAAATAACTCTTGGTTTCAAACACAAAATCCTTTAAAAAAATCAATGTAATTTTCCATACCGTGAACTCAGAAGGTATTTTGTGTTCATATGATTCACAAATCACCCTATCTAAAACAGTCAAACATACATCATTGGCGCTGCAGTGAGCTACAAGTTTGCCAGGAGACTGTATTGTAATTATAATACTTTGGCTGAAGGATCTTATACTAAGCCACTTCTCCAAACCTCCTACACTATATTTCCTACTACTAATATTTTAAAGGATGCTGACTACTTCACTATGGCCCAGGGTACAAGAATCTTTCTCATCCTAAAATTAGTACTCTAACAGCAGAGAGTTTTATCAAGTTGGATTACTGTTAGTTCAATGATCAATGTCAAGAACTTCAAGTTTTATAATTAGATCTTGCACCTTCTGCGCACTGTTCATTTACTACCTCTCCCAAAAAAAGGCTTATAAATCCAGATAATCAGGAATATGAAGCCACACTTTTTAACCTGTAGAAAAATGGAGGAAAAAAATAAGAGAAAAAAAACCATTTTAAAACATTGTTCTAAACACAGCTAAAACTTTCTAATACATTATTTCACACTCCAGACACTGTAGTGGAACATGGAAACCAAGTAGTGAATCAGAAGACATCTACTTGAACATTGTTGAAGATAAATAAACATCCTAAATCAGCAAAGAATTTTTTTTTAAATACTCAGTCTGAGGTTGGAGTCACCAGTCTTCCTGACTTGGAATCACATGCCAAAATCTTAATGTAAAAGAAATATATAGGATATGTATCCCATATTCTAGAGAGCCAAAGGACAAAGAAGAAGTGGGATAGTTCACAGACAGCAAAAGACAGCAGCTTCCAAGCCAGCCTGCAGACTGATGCTGCTGCTCTCTCTCTGCTGAAACATTTCAGATATCAGCACCCTTCCTGCCCAACCACAGCCCTGGTAATAGAAGACTCACCACAGGAGGCACACTCAAGCTTTTCAAAAGTGGCACCACACTCCACGACCATGTTAAATCATATTTCTTTTCCAGAGATTCAGTCAGAGGAGGTACCTTCACACTCAATCTGGCAGTGTTTCTTTACACATAGCAAGTCTAAGGGAAACTCTCCAGACACCTTGCTGGGGATCAGAACTCCCAGACCCTCCACAACCCCTCCTGCCTTCAAGTCACATAACGTTGCATCTAGCAAATCCAACACACTTGACCAGTAACTGCAAAGTCATAAGTACTTTTGAATTCGTCATCTGACTAACCTACTTCAAGGAAAACAGAATCTGTTTATGGTTTTTTTTCTTTTTATGGTTTCTAAGAACACCATAATTTGTCTCCGGCCTTGTAACTTCTTCAATTTAAAGCCAGAAGCAAAACCAGAAAAAAACACAATTTTGTAGAACACAAAAGATTCTCTTTAGAATAAACATCCATTCCATACCTTGCCCATTTCTTTTAAGTTTATCACAGCTTTACTTCAACTTCATTGTCTGCTATTTTAGAAACAGAACTGAATATCTTATCAGGTATCGGTGACTTATTATATCCACCTTTCAAATCCATTTTATAAATTTAGTTGGATAGTGTTACAAAGTTAAATATAGAAATACACTCTTCTAGGTACACTCCAGCAAAAGTTCTCAAAAACTATGTATGGAATATTCTTTTATAATTGCCACTGTGTATCCTAGGTGGATACAAAAATAGGTTAAAACTGTATCAGCATGCAAAGTAGTACAGAATAATCCCTGTCACTAACTCTCTAAAGAAAAAAAACCACCTCAACCACAAAAAAACACACCTTCCTACATACTCATTTCTACAGAGGATCACAGATGTTATGTTTAATACCTAAAAGTACCTTCCACACCAGTATACGATACATGGATGGGAGAGGAAACCTTTGACTAAATGTGCAAAGCTTCTCAATATCTGTAATGAAATAAAGAGAAAAAAAAAGAGGTAAATTTAATTATCAATAGGTTTGAGTCTCTGATCTCCCAAGTACAACAAATCCTTAGCTGCAGATCAAAATCCCCTCTTTCATCATTTATCAGCAATAAATACTTTCACTGCTTTAACAGAAAAAGGAATGTTCCCTACAAACTGAAACAGTATTTCTTTTGAAAAATACATACATTGGTTTGATTTACAATAAAACTACCCTAGGTTTCACCAGGAAGAAACTGTACCACTTTTATAGACACTTTGTAAATTGTGTTGCTATGTCAAAACAATTAAGGGCTTTGTTAAAAGTACATTTATCTTTCTGTTCCGTTAGAGATGTGGCTCTCCTCAGGGACCAACAGCAATAATAAAATCTTAATTGTTTCAAGGTTAGATGAAATTAACAGCAGGAGATTATCTATTTTCAGATTAAAATTTTCATTAAAAACTTTTAATTTCTTTGTCATCAAGAATGAAAAAAGAAAAAAGAAACACCAAGCAGACAAATCTCTCAAGTTTTTAAAAATCAGACTTTCAAATCTTCGCAACTCAAAGGACTGCTTGTAATAACAGGGAGAAAGAAACAAGCAAGCAGACAAATCTCTTCAAGTTTTTAAAAATCAGACTTTCAAATCTTCGCAACTCAAAGGACTGCTTGTAATAACAGGGAGATTAGCGGTAACAGACACAAAACTTCAGTGAATACTAAGCAAAGCAGTGAAATATTCCCTCCCCAGCCCCAAATTGCGAAGTAATGGAGAAAACAGTGAAATCAACTTGCCCAACCGGTCATCTTTCAACAGAATTTCCAGTGACTTCTTTTCTTCAACTCCACGAAACCCCACTTTTTCATAATATACTGAGCGAAAGTTTCTCTGAGAGTCGTCAGCCATGACTGATTCCTTTTGAAGAAACATTAATTCCCCTTAAGTGTTATAAGAATACATTCCTATTGCATTAAAGTCAAGTAGTTTTGCACACTGATAAAAGTTGACTGTCTATGTCTCTATAGTATTAATAAACACTACAGAACATTAAAATCTTCTAAGATTTTTTCATCATAACACACTGATAAAAGTTGACTGTCTACAGAATATTAAAATCTTCTAAGATTTTTTCATCATATGCTAACACAGACAATGCAATAATTAAATCTAAAAAAGGTCTGAAGATATCCAATTTAAAAATGAAATATGGGGATTTTTTTAAAATTATTTTTTATTCCTGTAGTAAATTATACTACTTTTCAAAAAGTTTTTTTAAAAGTTATGGGGAGAGACACCTAGTCTTTTATGCTATATCACATATTTCAAAACCAATACAAAAAATACAAGAGTCTGACAAAATTTTGGCTACAGAAACCCTAGTCAAGCAAATAAGTAAAATCACCAGGTTTCATACTCACCAAACAAGGTAAGCAGCAACAAGGGCAAGCCAATGCTGGCCTCAGTAGCACAGAGGTGACAGGAAAGAATAAGGCTAGGTATGTAGGTTTGTTCTTAAGTTGCAGATTTGAATTAAATGTTCACGTTGTTATCAGGTGCTGTAACAGCCACAGTCTTGAGCTTGTCATTCCAGTACTAAAAAGAAATAAGCATCGCATCCCTATACCGAAAAGAATGGTAAATTGCAGTGAGTACTGTCTATTTCATAACAAATGTAACTGACATTTCAATTCAGTTCAACCTTCTAAAGATCAATTCTCTGTCCTTTGCAGGCTTACAAATATGAGAAAGACTTGTTTTGTAACTCAAAGGACTAAAAACAATCTCAACTCTTCAGTCCAGTAACAGCAGTGAAATTTGGAGAAAAATAATTTGAGTGCGGAGCAATGGGTGAATTATGCACTGAAAAGCTCTTCCAGTTAATTTTCTCTTTTCCTTGCTGAACCAAAGCACACATCAGGAGCTAAGCATTTGAAGAAATAAACAAAGGCCACAATTTTGCAACGAATTCACATATTTAAAATTGCACATCCACTAGGCCTATCTGTGTGTCAAGTTAAGTTCATTTTTAGCGCTTTGTAGGATCAGTCAGAAAAATATAAAGCAGCAAAGGACTGGATTAGTGCTTTCTGAGCTTGGTCAACTACTATCTGAAAACCAGAGAAAAAATATTTATATTACTTGCAAGACATTCCAGTTGTGCACTACCCTTACGAAAACGACTTTGATATTCATGTATTGTGCATTTAACAGTCCAGTGACCAGAGTGTTTACTAATTACATCACAATCATGTCTAAAAGCAAGCTTATGATGCCATGGACACTCAACTACATTTAAAATATTTGAAATTTTTGAAATCTGAATTTAATATGTGCTATCTAGAAAACATTTAGCCCCTGCCACTTGTGGAAAGCTGACAGCAGAGTGACAGAACAGAAAAAATAAGTATTATTTGAAAAATAACAGCATGATCTATAAGAAAGGAATTCAATTTCAATTATTTTAAACTATCACTATACCAGAAGTACATTTGAATTACCCAGTGGAAAAAAAGTCCTCCCTCCCTCCCTCCAGACTTAGGACATATATTTTCATGTTAGGCAAACAACCAACATTCCCATCTTTACATGTATCACCAATAAACTGGAAAAAGGAAGGGGGAAAATAAATCCCTAGCCAGCTCATTGGAAGTGTTCTGTATCAAAGAGTATAATTTACTCATTTACTCATTTCTTTCAAAGACTAATGCTTTCTCGGCCTTGCTAGCACTTTTCATCTTATTAAATGTAATGCCAGGTGACTTTAACAGCAGCAATGAAACAGAAACACTGAGTAAAGAGCCACGATCCCAACACACCCCCCCGCTGACA